AACACAATCACAAATCAAGCAGTGCACATAAACTTCACGTAAGACAAATACTTAAAACATGTAAGGCGTAGAATTTACCCCCTTTACACTCACCTCATTTCTGTTGAAACCGACTCTGATTCCACTCTAAAAATTCCATGTATCGCTCCCATTAAATTCTACTCGTCTCCACGATTCCATAGGCGCAGACGGTTCCTCGATCGGACGTCAATTGATCGAGTTATGGCCAAATAAATATTCTGTCAGTTTAAAAGTATCAAGTACCGAAACTGAAATTTTCCAGTCAACACAGTTGACCCGACCTCTGGAAAATTACAGATTTAATCCTCTAACTTTTTCGAATTTCCAAAAATGGTACCTGATGGTTGACATATCCTTCCTCACACTTGGGAGACTCGGTTCTCCCTCATCCGACGTCCGAATTCGATTTCGTCGACACCGTGACGCTCCTGAGATCGCCCTCTACGCAACCATATCCATCTTTGGAAGTTTCGTCGAAGTTTATTTTTCCAGAATCCGGCGACACTCCGGTGACGTTCCGGCGAAGCTCCGACGAGGCATCTACAGACCTCCAAACGCAAATCCGACTCCATGGAAAGATTTCTCATGTTCTCCCGATCAAAACCCAGTGCCCAGAATCCTTCCTTTCCTTCTCTTTCTATTCCTCACTTTCTCCCTTTTTTTTTCCTTCTTCTTTGATTCGTCCCCTGCTCGGTTCATACGAAACAGGGGTAGCCATAATCTTTTTTTTTTCTTTTGAAGAAAATGCCCACCATATTCACCTCCTATTAAGCCCCAAATAAATTCCAACTAACCCCTTTCATAAATCGTCGGTTACATTGCGATTTCGACCGCTTCCCGAGACTGTTTGTGTCCCGCCATTGCTGCTCTGCTTCCCCTTCCGTTTCCGGTCGATCTCCCCAGAGAAGCAAAAGCTTCTTCCCCTTTTTTTTTTTTTCGGGCTCCAGCCCACCTCTTCCTTCCCTTTCATTTCCACGTTGGGCTCAAGCCCAACTCTTTCTTATTTTTCACCTCTTAACAAATCTCCACTCTCTTTCTTTTTAAACCATTCTGGGCTAAGCCCACTTCTTCCTCTCCTTCCTTTTTTTCCTTTTCCCAGCCAAACCCTTAGTCCCCAACAAGTGGGTTTCGGCCCACAACTCCCTAATTATCCTCCCAACTAAAACCCAATAAACCTAGACACAAGTGCTCCTGGCCCAATTGGAAAAACCCACCAGACCCAAGTCTTTGGTTGGGTGATATATTCATAACCCAAATTACGTCCATAACTTCGTCGTTTTAAATCAAAATTCGACACCGTTCGAACCGATAGTTCACATATTTAATCCCCCTCGATATTACGATAAAACTTGATGGATTTACCCAAGGGTAAAATAGTCATTTTGACCCTTAAAAAGATCGGGGTGTAACATTTCCTCCACCCTTATAAAAAATTTCGTCCCCGAAATTTGATCGGGCTCATCCTTTCGTACTCCTCAATTTTGTACTTCTTTGCCTCAAGAATTTACTCCTATGAAATTCGACGATGTCCATTGCTTGTCCTGTATAACTTACCTCATTTATTCTATTCCATCTTGACCATAAGGGGTATCTTCACCAAACTCGTTAGCATCGAGTAGCTTTGACTGGCTACTAGTCCTCTTTAATTCCCTCGCGCGGGTGATAGAATAAAATTTTCGATTCCACTTAATGGTCCAGCTCAGTCAGTACTTGTATTTAGACCTTAGATCGAAGTCGAGGTATCACATTTCCTCCCCCCTTAAGAAAAATTTCGACCTCGAAATTTGTTGATCCTGACTTCTCCAAATCTCATTCTTTACACCGTCTATCTCGTTGAATGGCACCTCCACTTGTCGCCGGCTCCTTGAAGACTTGTCGGACTCCTTAAGACATATTCTAATTCCTCTTTATATGCTCCCATCGTTACTCAAAGTCTAACTTTTCACTGCTCCCTGGTGTCACACACCAAGCTCGATCATCTTGATCTTAGCGAATCATCTTTGCATCCTTTCCTCTCGCTGATGGCCGTCATTGTCAGAACTCCTTGGCCATTGCCTGTCGACGTACTAGATACTCGACTTCTTCCTCAACCTTAAACTAATTAGCTCGCGTCCCCGTAGGATATGAGCTGCCTTGAATCTCTTATTCTCGTCAATGAAAGGACTCCCCTAAACGATCCTCTTAGGAATATACTCTTCCTCCTTTCCGAGACGTATCAGGGTCACGCGGTCTAATATAGTTATTTTCCTAGTCATGATTAGAGTATACTGGAGATTCTAAAAATCCTCAAAAGACTTTGACTCGTTTGGCCAACACTCCCAGTTTTCCTTTCCTTTAAAAACTGAACCCTTGAAAAAAAAAACTCAGATCGTCACTCCAGTATTCCTTGGAGACCAAGAAACAGAGGAGTGCCGGCTCTGATACCAAAATGAAACACCCTAACCCAGCCGGGTACTACTTTTACTAAAACGCCCTTGATAAATAAAATGCTCAAACCTTAAATTTCAGCGGAAAAAATTTAACATAAATAAAAATACTGAAAACACACTTGAAGTTCGAAGCAAAGCCCTAACACGTGGGTAAATTAAACTCAAACTTTAAAATCTCAACCTGATCTCAAAATAATCTCCAGTCTGTACTCATAATCATAAAATATAATAACTAACTAGTCTCCAGTGTTGCTGCTTGTGCGAAAAACTCTGACTAGACATCCTCTGTGCCGCTCGTACCGTCCTCCTCTAGCTAACTTCACTCGAACTCGCTGCTCTCTAACTCCTCTTAGTCCTCTTTAAAACTGGTGAGTGAGATGGGGTCAGTCTACGCCCTTACGTTTTAAACCTCAAATACCTGAGCACTTTACTTAAGACACGAACTTAAACTTATGAAAGTTGTTTGTACCTTCGCCTTTAAACTTTAACTCTTAAAAAATGTATTATTTCGTCCATTAGCTTACTTTGGGGCCCCTACCTCGTCTTAGCTGGCGCCACTACTAGCCTTACTTACTTTCTTAAACATGACTACCCTCACAATGGGGTGCCCCTCAAATGGGTTTGAACACCGCGGAACGAATCACCATCCGGTGTCAAACTACAGCGTGACTACCGCGGAACGTATCACCATCCGGTAGCACACCTAAACCTGGGCAATGGGGACCGCGGAACTTATCACCGTCCGGCTCCACGCCTGACCAACTACCGCGGAACGTATCACCATCCGGTAGTGATCAACTACCGCGGAACTTATCACCGTCCGGTAGGGATCCATCTAGCTAGTGGCTAGCTAAGCGAGGTTACCTATCTTTACTCGTGACTTTCTCTTGTTCTTATCGTCATAACTTATTAAGCGGTTAAACGTCGTATGAACGGAAACTTAAATGCTTAAATGTAGATATTGAAACGCTCAAACAATAATTCAAGTCGAGCATGCATAATCAACACAATCACAAATCAAGCAGTGCACATAAACTTCACGTAAGACAAATACTTAAAACATGTAAGGCGTAGAATTTACCCCCTTTACACTCACCTCATTTCTGTTGAAACCGACTCTGATTCCACTCTAAAAATTCCATGTATCGCTCCCATTAAATTCTACTCGTCTCCACGATTCCATAGGCACAGACGGTTCCTCGATCGGACGTCAATTGATCGAGTTATGGCCAAATAAATATTCTGTCAGTTTAGAAGTATCAAGTACCGAAACTGAAATTTTCCAGTCAACACAGTTGACCCGACCTCTGGAAAATTACAGATTTAATCCTCTAACTTTTTCGAATTTCCAAAAATGGTACCTGATGGTTGACATATCATTCCTCACACTTGGGAGACTCGGTTCTCCCTCATCCGACGTCCGAATTCGATTTCGTCGACACCGTGACGCTCCTGAGATCGCCCTCTACGCAACCATATCCATCTTTTGAAGTTTCGTCGAAGTTTATTTTTCCAGAATCCGGCGACACTCCGGCGACGTTCCGGCGAAGCTCCGACGAGGCATCTACAGACCTCCAAACGCAAATCCGACTCCATAGAAAGATTTCTCATGTTCTCCCGATCAAAACCCAGTGCCCAGAATCCTTCCTTTCCTTCTCTTTCTATTCCTCACTTTCTCCCTTTTTTTTTCCTTCTTCTTTGATTCGTCCCCTGCTCGGTTCATACGAAACAGGGGTAGCCATAATCTTTTTTTTTTCTTTTGAAGAAAATGCCCCCCATATTCACCTCCTATTAAGCCCCAAATAAATTCCAACTAACCCCTTTCATAAATCGTCGGTTACATTGCGATTTCGACCGCTTCCCGAGACTGTTTGTGTCCCGCCATTGCTGCTCTGCTTCCCCTTCCGTTTCCGGTCGATCTCCCCAGAGAAGCAAAAGCTTCTTCCCCCTTTTTTTTTTTCGGGCTCCAGCCCACCTCTTCCTTCCCTTTCATTTCCACGTTGGGCTCAAGCCCAACTCTTTCTTATTTTTCACCTCTTAACAAATCTCCACTCTCTTTCTTTTTAAACAATTCTGGGCTAAGCCCACTTCTTCCTCTCCTTCCTTTTTTTCCTTTTCCCAGCCAAACCCTTAGTCCCCAACAAGTGGGTTTCGGCCCACAACTCCCTAATTATCCTCCCAACTAAAACCCAATAAACCTAGACACAAGTGCTCCTGGCCCAATTGGAAAAACCCACCAGACCCAAGTCTTTGGTTGGGTGATATATTCATAACCCAAATTACGTCCATAACTTCGTCGTTTTAAATCGAAATTCGACACCGTTCGAACCGATAGTTCACATATTTAATCCCCCTCGATATTACGATAAAACTTGATGGATTTACCCAAGGGTAAAATAGTCATTTTGACCCTTAAAAAGATCGGGGTGTAACAAAATCTTTTATCTTGGTATATTTCACAAAAGTAAACTCCATCGACACTTCATATTTTGGTTGGACGAAGGGTACATTGCGGGACATGAACTCTTTGCAATTGAAAGGACATACCTGGCTTTTCTTCTTTGTTTTTTTTTTTGTGTGTGAAGCAGACCTGGCTAGCTAATGCCTCACGGGTTGCTCCTCCATAAACTGCAGCATAAGAACAGGTAGATCTTTGAATCAGATGTTCAAGCCAAATATATGGAAACCCATTCATGTGTCTAACCAGTATAGCCGCCTAAAATTGTAACAGTGACATTGGAAATGCGTAATTTACCTCCAGTCTGAAGTGCTTTTTCAATTTGTCCACTTCAGATTTCCTTGAGGCCTCAACTGCATTACGAAGAGATATACTATCAATAGAATTGAACAAATATATCATTTTTCGTTGCCACTTTTGATTTGTTTGAGTGTATTAGGCACTGTAATCTCAAATGCATTAGAATGATGCAACTCAAATACACGATGGTAGTTTCCATTAAAAAAAATACACGAGGGTTGTAAGCATTTGAAAATGCACTCCAGAGAAGTCGGTCCCACGAAAGAAAAATGGTGCATTCTTCAATCTAGGATATGTTCAGTTCTGTAAGTATTTTAGAAACAATTCTAGTCCTTTTCTCGAGGCAATGTTTTTGAAATGGACAAACTGGGGCACAAAGGCAAAGGCTTAAGGGTTGAAAGCATACCAGTATGAGCAATCGATTGTGGGAGTTGAGATAACATTCAATCGCATCTCCCTGTGGAAGCCCAGGTGGGACTTTCCTCGTCCTTAGTTGTGCCTCAACCACTGTATCATTGAGCTCACTGTCCAGAAAAAAATACAGCAATTTAAGATGGTCAGAGTCAGAATCTCACGTATGCGATTATCGATACAGTAATTGCATGTCAAAGGAGGAACACATACTTTCTGAAGTATGAACTTCGGTCAAAATAGAATTTGTGAACTCATCATAGAGAATCAACGCATTCTAAAATATAATTTGAGTTCTATGAGAATGAATTGAAATTGGCTGACTAATATCTAAGTACCTCGCTAAGAATAAGAACACCTCTCTTTGAATATTGGCATGCTACAAACTCATAAGTAACGAGATTCATTCCATCTCACAATGAGGTTACAATCGCCACGTCTGCAAGACGGGAATAGAGATCATAACATAAGCACACAAAGTTGAAATCCTACTAAGGATACTTGTGTAGATCAAGGAACATAAAGGGAAGTGTAATATAAGTTACATGTCTATGACTTTAAACAACCATGCAAGAAACAGGGTTGACAATTTCAATTGAACTCGGAAAAAGTTGCAGTTAAATTACACATCAAAAGAACATTGTACCAGTTTCAGCATATAATGCACATAGGCCAAGAAAATCCAAGGACCGATCCTGCATTAACCGAAGTCTATTTCAGGACAAGAAATGAAAATGATATTGCCCGGCAAATACATAAGCAATTTAGGAGGTTACAGGAGAGTGCTACAAGACTTGGTCTAGTTAGGGCTTACCCTACTAAATCTGCCGCGAGAACTGAACGAAGTAGCTCTGATCTATTTAGATGACTTTTATGTTCTATTTAGATTATTTTATTCTGTTTAGAACCCATCTATCAACAAAGGCCAGATTTGTCAACAAACACTCGAGGCTTAGATACCTGTTTTCGATGCCCAGTACCCTGCTTGTGCTGCTCCCATTCATGGCCTCCTCGAAGCACCTTAACTCCTTGAAGTTCCTTCAAGTTCCTCCTCCTCCCTCGATTCGCAAGCCTCAAATCAACATGAAAACAAAACGAAATAAAAGAAACGAGTTCAGAAACCCAAAATTTGGACTCGCTAATTGGGGAGTGTCCAGTCATGTCCTGATTTTTATAGGAACTCAAAGCAACGAAATGAAAACTTGCATAGCAACTACCTGCAATCGTTCCTTAGGGGGGCCTTTTTAATCCGAGGGAATGAGACCATAGCTGCCGCTCTTACCAATCCAGATTTTTTTTGTATGCATCTCGTGCCAAACAAAGAGGAAATCAAAGAACTGAAAACGAAAACCAAAAATTCGGGGAAGGAAAAGGAGAAGGAAACGCGAGATTTCACTAACTCTTTATCTTCCAGTTGGAGCATCTTCGCCTAACACAACCGATAGGAACATCCCCAAATCCACCAGGTTTCATCAACCGAGCAACTCGTCGGCAGCTACGCGGAACCGCTGTCTCCAATCGATCGAATCGTCGACTCTCTCTCTCTCTCTACTCGTCGGCAGCAACGCGGAACCGCCGTCGCCAGTCGATGGAATGATTGGAATCGTCAACTCTCTCTTTCTCTCTACTCGTTGGCAGAAACGCGGAACAGCCATCGCCTCTCTCTCTCTCTCTCTCTCTCAGATTGACGACATGCAAGATAGAATGAGAATGGGGGGTCGGAATGAAGAAAACGTTTCTGGGGGACGAATTCAAAAGACACACAAATTTTTGGCGGAAAAAGCGCTATTCTGAGAAGGTAAAAGCCAAATTTTAACAATTTTGAATTTTCTTTTTACGTTGCATTTTGCCGCTACCATTATGTACACTTTATTTTACACATTTTTGTAATGAAAAATTAGAGAATGGATGGTTATTACTTTTTTCAATTCACCAAAAATAAAATTTATCATAGTTTCAATATTAAAATATGAAATTAATTTCCTATATAACTGATAGACCCAATATTCAACCAACATCACACAACCGTCACAAACCATTTTTACGTGATCTCAAGGAGAATAATGATAAAATCATATATATGTGTAAGTTAATGGTGTTGGTATCTACTACTGGTTAAAACATTGGGTTTGGGTGCTCTCCCCTCCAAAATAACCCCATCAAACCAAATTACATCCATGGAATGGTTTCTTAAAGCTAAACCCATGTGGATGACGATTTCTATTTCCTTACCTCCAACCAAATGATGTATTAACACATCATCACCTGTCATTTTCCATGTGTACGAATTATTAAGAGCAATTAGTTGATGGATGGTAATGGAACCCTGACCTGTACTATTCCTCACTCAAACCACCAATCATCAAACTTATCCAACCCTTTTAACTTGGATAAGAGGTGGAGAAAGATGGATGAGTCAACACCAACGTGGCCTTATGCAAAAATGAGGTGGAAATTCTACCACCCACCATTTACCACATACACATGAATTAAAAAGATCACTTTCCCATGCCTCCACATACAAAAGACAAGGTGGATGGGTGTGTTATTTACTCTCAATTAGTTGGATTTTAGCAAGAGAGTTGGCCACAAAAAGAATCTCAATTCATCACTACCGACACTACTACACGTGCCCTGATGAGAAGAGATGTGGAGCAGGCAATTTTGATTATTGCCATCACAATAACATTTCCCCATCTTCCACATACTTATATACATGGCTTAGTAGAAAGACACTAGGTAAATAAATTTATTTTATTTCTAATTTTATTTTGATATGTGTTTGCTTGTAGCCATCCACCCATTGCACTCGGGTTGTCTGGGAGGTAATGTATTATTTTTATTTTATTACGAGCACACCATCTACGCCAAAAGCAGGAGGCACCTATAAATAAGACGTTCATAGTGACATGTATAGTTGTCACAAATAATGTCAATTGTGGTAATATTTCTGACACAAATACACTTTTCGATGTCTAGTTGTCACAAATAATTACATGCTTGGCCGCAGAATTGATTTACAAAAAATTATCCTTTTAGCATAGTTTCAAATTTTTTCAACTTGGGTCTAATCCGATATCATATTCATCATTAAGGAGATTCAGATTGCGAGTGTGTCTCATCTAACTCATAGTTATTCGACTGTCTTTTTGTTGCTCTTTTTTGTATATGGCGTAAGCACGGGTGGGCATTGCTGTCAAAATACAAAAATAAGGATGTAAGTATTGAATCAATCTAATCGTATGTATAAATATACAAGAAGCTAGAAATTAACGGGTTAAGCACCATACTCCAAAACTCTCGCAAGAGATGTGTAGCATCTTGGAGACGAGCTTATAGGTTACTCGGTAGTACTCGGAGAGACGGAGACCGACAGTCAGCTGTAAATGTAAGAGAGAACAACATTTAGAGGTCGATTGATATATTTTGATAATGGTAAAGGCAGAGGATTTTAACAATTTGAAAGAAATTGCAGGATGCAATTGGAATGAAGGAAGCAACTACGAGTCTACGACAATAGTGGTAGAACTAGAATGAAAAGCAAAGGGTTTTTTTATATTGATTGGTACTTTCTGCCTTTGACCATCTTTGGTTGAATCCAAAAGTCCAGATTTTGGGGCTATAATTCAAAATCTAGCCCATCAAAAGGTGTTTTGGCATTAGTAATGAGTTCCAAATGTTTACATTTCCAGATATGCATTTTAACTCATAATCCAGTTTTGTGTATATTTCATCATTTTAATTACAAAATTTGTTCATTATTTTTATATAGGTAGTAATAATTAATAAAGACGAACATTCCGATAATTTTTTTTTGAATTCCGACAAAAAAAATTATTTGTAAATATGACGTATTGAAGTGTATTTAACTATTTATAAGGAAATTTTGAAAAAAAAGAGCCGTTTGGATTCAAAGAACCGGTGGGGGTGCATATTGGTACTAAATGAGTACATTTTTCTTTTTCTAATTCTCCAACAGGTGGAAAAATGGTAGAATCCATCCCCCAATGCGTTTTTCCCGTATCCCCTGGTCGTCCCCGTTATTTGGAACTTTTGTCCACTTGTGTTCCATATTTGGAACCAATAATTGCATTAAATGGTCCTTTTGGAATTCTGGAACCCTACTAAAAGTGAATGGGGCCATTTTTTTGGAATTCTTAAAACACCACTGAAGGTGGTCTTAGTGGCGTAGAAAGGGGAAGGGATGTGTATTAGTAGAATATAAAGGGATGTGCTAGAGTTTTAATTTGAGAAGGAAACTTATTAATTTCTTAAGTAAATAAGAGATAAAATTTTGGTGCAACTAAAATCACGGCATATCTTCTCCTTCCCAATGTTTTTACACGGTTGAGTTGAAATTTGGGTTCATCTCTTTTTAATTCTTTAATATATTATTTTATTAATTATATATTAAAATGATTATTTTTTGTAACATAATTTGGTAAAATGTTGGGTAAACTATACTCATACGCAACCCTTGTGATTTATGTTGGGTTCACCCTTGATCTTTGTGTATCTGAGGCCATGTGAGTGGGAGGATTCATGTACCATTCAGTTCCTGGGGTATCCCACTTGAGGAGACTGGAGGTGGCTCAATAAAGTAGCACAGGAACCAAGGTATTTTATCGGGTATGGCAATCCTTCGCTGAGAAGATTAGTAGAACAGAGTCTTTTCCAGTTCTGTGCGGACGCCAAGGGGTCGTGATTGGCTGTTTTTTTCTGCAGCTCGAGGTGACCAATTTATTTGTTAAAGAGTTAAATCTTTCATTTTTGCTACCGCAATATATTAATGCTCTTAGGAGTTTTACCCATTCCCTTTCTCTTTGGGGTTCAAATTGATGTAGAGCATATTCTCATATCCGCCAAAATTCTCAAAATCCCCCCGCTTCCATCCGTGTCTTCACCTGCAATTCTGCAAATGTCGAAGTCGAACCCATCTTCTTCGTGGATCGCCCAATTCAAACCGGGCGACCGGGTCGAGGTCAGCTTCGACGACCCCGGGTTCCGCGGCTCCTGGTTCGCCGGCACCGTCATCCGCCGCGAGGCGAAGAACCCTAATCGCTACATAGTCGAGTACGACCAGCTCTACGAGGACGAATTTGGGGAGAAGCTGCTGCAAGAAACCCTCGATTGGATCCAATTGCGTCCGCCGCCGCCTCCCGAGAAGAAGAAGAAGGTCCAGTTCAAGTTCGGAGACAAAGTGGAGGCCTTCCACAGCGACGGCTGGTGGGAAGGGGCTATTACTGCGGAGCACTCCGGCGGGAAATTCGCAGTGTTCTTGAGAGGCTCAAAGGAGCAGATTGTGTTTGAAGAGAAAGATTTGAGGTTGCCTGTTCAGTGGGTTAAAGGGAAGTGGGAGCCACGATTCGAACAGGTTCAGCGGGAGAAAGAGGTGAGCTAATTCGATTTTATGACTTTTCCTGCTCCGTTGCTTGGTATGAAAGTTTTAGGGAATTCTGAATCTGGATCTAGTTAGGCTGAGGAAAGTAGAGAATTAGGTGATCAGAGATGGCATTTGTTCTTGTTCGCAATGTCTCAACCTCGTTGAATCGCTTCATAAACATGCAGAGGTCGCTAGAGAAAACTGGAACTAGGCCAAGCAAAGTAGCAAAACGTGAGAGTTCGTCTGAGCCAAAGGCAGACTCAAATTGTCCCAAGGAAGTGATGAAGTTTACTCAAGGAATACAAGTCGAGGTGACAACTGAAGACGATGGTTTCAAAGGTGCTTGGTTTGCTGCAACAATTATTGAACCTTCGGGTGAAGACGAGTACCTTATTGAGTACAAAACCCTGACGAATGATGATGATACTGAGTTTCTCAGAGAAGACATTCGTGCTTGCAACATAAGGCCTTGTCCGCCGGAGATCACTGTTGTGGATGGATTCGAGGTGATGGATGAAGTAGATGCTTACTACAACGAGGCCTGGTGGGTTGGCGTGATTGCAAAGATTTTGATCAACTGCAATTACGTGGTTTACTTTAAATAGTATGATGAGAAGATAACGTTCAAGCAGCCTGATTTGAGGCCACATTAGGACTAGTTAAACGGAAAATGGGTTGTTCCTTCAGAGTTCTGAATTTTATGCTCTTAATTCTCAACACACTACTAGCTTTTCTAGTAAATTATATTAGTTGTACGGGCCTGCACTCAATGCATCTCTTTCTATTTTGTTTGCCAAATTGGTTGTAGATCTTGAGTGTGTGGAAATCTGATTGAACAGCCCAAAATGTATTAGAGAACTATGGTTAGCAGATGTTTATTTTCTATGGGATTATGTTGGAAAAAGATTTATCTTTTGATGTTGAATGCTCCTATTCCTATAAAATTTAAAGTTCTGTCTGAACTCGAACTTGGGGGTCTGTTTCATGAGGATTCTTAAAATGGAAGGATTCTAAGGTGTAATTGTTAGGATGAGTGATTTACAGAAGTTAATTATTGGAGAACACGGAGATTCGAAAATAATGGACACAGGAGAACCATTCTGATTTTCTTTCGGCATGCTACTTTCTCTTCTTATATTTAATCAGAACAACCCAGTACATAAAAGGCAACAACTGTGCCCACTGAGTAATTTTTTTTTAGAAACCACTGATATGATTCATTAAAATCAAGAATCAACTGCCTCAAAGGCTACAACGTCAGCTACTCTTTGCGGTAGAACATTACAATGAAAATGAGTTTCCTCAGAAACTGAAACTAGATGAGCAAACACATGAGATTGGGACCACAACAAAGCATACAAATCCTCCTTCAACATATCCGAACAAATGACACCCAGTTCAGTTCTGCATATTTTCCATTGTTTCAGTATCTCGATTTTCGCCTGTTTCAGTATCTCGATCACCATTTTGCAACTGACTCTACCACATCGGGCCACTTTCTTTCTCCTCACTAGTCTGACCCCATAGAGAATAGCGATTCCTCCTTTTGGCCTCACTTGACATAATTCTTCAAGGGTTTAACTCCTGCATAGACACACCAAAAATAGCGTCATTCACAATACAGGAAACAAAGTCCGATGGAAGCTTGGGACCACAACAAAGCATACAAATCCTACTTTGGGTACTCATCTGGATAATGTTCTTCTCGCATGTAAGATTCCATCCTTCCCTTCACACTCCCCATGGCAACGACGTGCACATATAATGAAAGAAAATCGACAAATCAAACAAATGATATTCATAAAGCAACATATAAAAAATGAAAATTTGTTAAAGTATATGGTCCAGGTTGAAATACTTCCGCAGACCACATATTACTATCATACACTTTCTTGAAGGGTTCAGGAATAAAGGATACCGTAGTTCCAATGGTACATATTCAAGCTAAATAGTAATGGGGCATTCCTATGAATGAAGCACTCCTTCATAGCTGCAATACATTCCAGAATTACTATATCATCTACTCTAGTACCCCTCAAGAAAGCGTATGACAGCAATCACATTATCTGCGCAAGCCTCAACTAAATATTTCGCATATACATGTGTTCTCAAATGAACATTTGAAACTGGAAGGAAATAAAATGATACCATCAAAATTGTGATAGAACCAGTGGTACATAAACTATCTCCCGAATCCAGCAGTGGCCTTCACAACTCTGCAAGCAATGAATTTTCTCAGTTGAGGGATTCGGACCAACAAAGAAACAACAGACGAAACAACAATAGAACGAAACCAACCTCAAATCTTTCAAATCTCCTACAGCCTTTGCGAGTTTCTTCCAAAATGTAGGAGTCAAGTGGGCGGAAAAGAACCACCAGATGGAATATGGTTCCACAATATTTATTATGAACACTCCAACTACATCTGATGTTCTTCTCCGCCCTTTGTAGACACATCTACATGTTGGGACTGGCCGCCGAACTGCCGCCAACACAACCTCATAAAAAATAAAAGAAGATCAATAAAATGGATTGGATTATGTAACTAGTCTCCAAACTCAGTTATTAGCTAACACACATGAGGGAAAAACTGAGATTTGGAATCAAATTAATACAAACCGTGTCAACAAGCTACGAAGCCATATATACTTACAAGTTTACAGAACGAACGTTATGAAAATCCGAATCCCATCTGATGATCTTCTGCGATGTCCTTACAAGTTTACATGTTTTCATTCTCACAGTACCATGCCTCTAGCCCAACGCACCGCGGAAACCAAAAAAACAAAAACAAACGAGGGGATTAGGCTACTGGAGTCAGGCCTTCATTAGCTACCAAGAATAAGATCAAAAATCTATTTGAGTAAAATACGAACCTTCCTCCTTGCAGTTGTCTCCCCGACATCAATGTCCAATTCGTCACCCATTTCGCGCCAGAGAAGAAGACCCCTCACAACGAAGCGAGAGCCTGGAGGCAAGTAGAGGAAGGAATGAAGAGGTAGGTGGGTAGGATTTTTTCCCTTTGGGTTCAAGGTGAAAGAAAAGAAGTGATTGAGAACAATGGGAGGGGGAATGTGTAATGAGCTACGGCTAGGGTTTCATCTTGGTTATGGTGGAAAGGAGGCAGCAGCTGGATTGGGGAGAACGGAAGGGGAAAATGGAATTTAGGGTTTGGATTTCCAAAACCAATGCGCGTGCCGCGTGGGAGAGAAGGGCTGTGAATGGGCTGCGCTTGAGAACACATGGCCAACATGCATTGTTTCCTTTTTTTTCCTACTAACATAACTCGTTTTTAAACAAAAAACAGCGAGGGAAAATGGGCCAATGGGGGATGGTTAGTTGGTCCCTATGTAAACAATGAGAGTTTCTTTAATCAATTTAATTTCCTATAGTTTAACACGTTGTAAACAATGAGAATACCAAGATCTGTTGAAAACGTTGTATGTCGTAAATCAATCTTGTATTACTAACCACGTTGTGTTAGAATTAAGCGTTGAAATGTTGCATTTTACAATTGTTGAATACGTAAACACCCTACGGGCAGTGGCTGAGCCACCTCTTGAGGAAAGGGGTCATAGGACTCAGTTGGGAAAAAACAGGGCAACAAAATTCTTCAGATATGTAAGGTTTAATATGATCCTTTGAATTTAGGACCTCATGCTTTCGTTCATGTTAGCTCATCTAAGGACACAAATTAACTCAAACATCATTAGATAAACGGAATTTTGCATTTTGAAAATAAAAAGGAGCCCAGTCAATTTAATGTATGGCTACCACACTCCCTACGACATACAACTCTACCAATGTTAGTATGACAACAACCATAAAACACAATGCTTGCTTTCGTATGCAATAATTCAATTCTATTCAACAACTTATTTGGGCGACAAATGATCCCCAATTCGCATTACACTACATAACTGGGATCCCAAACCAGCCTTCTTGAAATTTGAGCTAACCTTGCTTCGAGTAGGAAGACATATCCATTGCATTGATTTTCATATTATAAACCTCTTGCCTAAACTACCTTGGATATGTTTATCATCTGTTGCACGATTTTTGTGACAATTAGGGTTAGGGAGATGACTACAAAAGTATCGTTGTAGCGCATCTTTCATAGATTCAAGTTGGCTAGTTTAATTTAAACTAAAACTATAAGATTTTATTAGATTATGATTATGCTCAAGTAGTAGGCGAGGCCATTTTGCCTGCGGATACGTCTTACGTCGACCACTATACCACGAAAACTATACTACGACGCCAAATCCCTTAGTGTTATTATGGATCGAGATTTATAATCTTCAAGTATCCAACAACCTTGACCCCAATCTCAACAGTCACGATAATGGTTTGAGATATTATGTATAAACTAAAAAATTAAATAATTACTACGCCAAATTAAAGCCAGTGAATTTCATTTGGCGTAGCGGAAATAGTGTGGAAATATGACTCCTTGGATACAGGTTCAAATCCCAAAGGCAGCACATTTTTTTGGCTTCTACTTTCCATTAATGGTAAGCCATTAATAGATAAAAAATTTCTTTAAAGGCAAGTAAAACGTTTTTTTGATTGAATGTCTTCTACTTTCCATATAGGAGTTAGTTTTGATTTCCTCATGCTTTTATGGTAGGTTGATTTTTTATTATTCTTTTTTCTTTTTTGCTTTCGTTCCCCACATATCATTTGCTAGATGTTCTAATACACGAAATGCACCTTTCAGACTATGTTTCTAAGTTCTATTTATTTGAACTTGGTTAAGTGTTAATTTGTGTTCTTTTCATTTATGAACTACCATTTGTTGCCTTTGTGAATTATCCATTTCTGTGTTTTGATTTGTGTTAAATTGGTTTGCCAATTGGCAGTCTCACTACATTATCTCATATAATGAATGGAAGAGATTTGGGACTAGAATGCATTAATAGTAGCACTGTTATGTAATTCTTACGTTGTAATAATTCAATGGAATTAAATAAATACTTTTGTAATAATAATAGAGGGAAAAATGAAAAAAGGACTAATTTGTTCAAAGTACCATAACTTAATTAAATTCATATTTTACATCAAGTACCACCTCAAAAGGATAATAAACTTACAAAAGATAGTAGCGTTCACATATCCATTACGCTTACAGATCATTAGAGATTACAGAGAGGTGGACCATTACTAACATTAATCCGATCATATTAATAATACCCAATGCTACTTAGTTATCTAAAGGCGGGAACAACTTTACCAAGAAGAGATCTAAATAATTCCCCACGTTGTTCCAAGGACCGAATATGACTAAGACCTCATATGCCTTCTCACCAATCAAGTTGAGAAGTGTAACATAGTCCGCATTTTCAAGCTCAGGAGGACTGACAACAGAAGACATGATTCTCCGTAAGTAAGCTGATGGGAACACGACCTCAACATCAGTAATGTCATCTTCAATGGTCAAGTGAATCAAATATACCCTGGATGCCTCACACCAAGATCTCCTCAACTCTGTTACAACGCCAGAGAAAATGTACGACTTGCCCTGATATAATCCAAAACATAAGGAGTTCAAAATAATACCAAATCAGATGCAAATCATTGAGATAAGAGATAGAGAAGGATAGAT